CGCCCGTCCGCCTGCCCTGCGCCCGGGTGCATTTCCCTCTCGGGCACCCTTATCCGGGTGCCTTTCCCCTCCGTGCATCCCGGTCTGGGTGCCTTTCCCCTTGTGCATCCCAATCTGGGTGCATTTCCTCTCCGTGCATCCCGGTCTGGGTGCATTTCCCCTTGTGCATCCCAATCTGGGTGCATTTTCCCTCCGTGCATCCCTGTCTGGGTGCATTTCCCTTCCCAGCACCTTCGATCTGGGTGCATTTCCCCCTGGAACACCCCAATCTAGGTGCATTTCCCCTCCATGCATCTCGATCCGGGTGCATTTCCTCTTGATGCACTTCGATCCGGGTGCATTTCCCCTTGGGCATCCTGAACTGGATGCATTTCCCCACTGTGCGTCCCTGTCTCCGTGCATTTCTCCTCCTGGCACCTCCTTCCGGGGGCATTTCCCCTCCATGCATCCAAGTCCGGATGCATTTTCCCCTCCTGACAACTCGATCCAGGTCCATCTTCCCTTGAGGCATCCTAATTTGGATGCATTTCCATTCCATGCATCCCAGTCTGGGTGCATTTCCCCTCCATGCACCCAGGTTCAGGTGCATTTCTCCTCCTGACACCTCGATCCGGGTGCATTTCCCCTCTGTTCTCCCCAGTCCAGGTGCATTTCACCCCTAGCCCCTCCATGATCCGAGTGCATTTTCTCCCTTTACCCTCCGTGCACCCCGATCCAGGTGCATTTATCCTTGGGACATCCCAAACTGGGTGCATTTGCCCTTGAGGCACTTGGGTCCGGGTGCATTTCACCTACCCAGCGCCGTGATCAAATGCACTTCACTCCTGTCCCCTAGGAGATCCGGGTTCATTTCCCCTTTTTGTGCACCCCAGTCTGCATGCATTTCCCCCGTCTCCTCTGTGCACTCCGTTTCTCCTCCCAGCACCTCGATCCGGTATATTTTCCCTTGGGGCACCCCAACCCGGATGCTTTTCCTTGCATGCTCAGGACAGAGCCGCTGGAGGCAGGAAGGCAGCTGGCTCCGGGGTAAGAGGCTGCGGGGAGGCAGCAGAGTCCCCTCGCTCTGCCCTCCGCCAGCAACGCCCCAGCGCCCTTTGCAGGTGTTCGCACGGCCCCGAGGGGCTGCTGGCCCTAAAGCATTCGCTGCCTGGCCCCCGACTTTGCATCCTGCCCGAATGTCTCATTTCTTGTGCATCGGCTGCCCAAACAGCGCAGGAGGTCGTGGGCCATCGGCCGAGCTATCTGCCTGCGCGGCGAGGCTTTGCATTTTTTTATCACATAAAATCTTCTTTCCTTATAGAGGGAAATTGAGGCAGGGAGCTGTCTGAATTGCCGGCGGTTTACAGAAGGGGGAAACCCCACGTGAGAGAGGCCCAGGGCGCTGGGTGTCGGGACCAAGCAGTGGTTTAAGATGGGAAAAGGCCCCGGCACGACGCACCCAGCTCCGACAGCAGTGGTTCGGGTCCTCCTCCCGCCGTGGAGCCCGGCCCGCAGCCGGCGTTCCGCAAGGCCGCAGGGGAGGTCTCGTGTCGCGCTCGACCCGCAGCAGTGGGCGTTGAGCTGGGTGCCTGGATGAAAGCGTGCCGGGAACTCCCGAAACAATTTCGGTTCCCCGCGGCACTCAGGGCCTTCTGCAGTTCGCAAGCGCTGGTTGTGCAGCAGCTGCAGCCCTGGTGCCAAGGGTCCTTCCCCGGCGCTGCATCTCCGGGCCTGCAAACCGGTGTGAAAATGGGTTAAAAAAAGAGGGTCCCCGGGATGAACCACATCTCAAGGCTGTGACTGCGCGTTCGGCTTGAAATCTCACGGGAGGAGTTTGCCGTTGCCGTTTCTTTGCCTCTCACCTCTCTCCGTGCACGCGCAGGTTTACGCATCCATGAATACTTGTATTTCCAAGTGCTGAGTCCCGGAGACATCCGCTACATCTTCACTGCCACTCCGGCCAAGGATTTTGGGGGAGTGTTTGTAAGTATAAGGACCGGATTTGTCTCGGAGCCCCCCCGTCCCTACATTTCTGCGCTGCGGGGCTGGCTGATGTGAAGCCCTTTACCGAAGTGGAGCTGATTGCACGGGCTTCCTCCGAGAGCTTTGCCCTAGGCAGGAGGCACGCGCCCGTCTCTGCCGTTAGAGGTGCTCCCGTTCGATCTGGGCCATGCGAACGCGTTTCTGCCTCCGCACGCGTTCCCTGGGAGCGTTCGTACGTACGGATGCGTGTCCGCACACGCGTGCGCTCCCGGAGCCCTAAGGGCTCCCCGTCTCCTGCCAAGGGGCTGCCCCAATCCGGGGCAAAGCCCGGGGCTGGGCATCGAGAGCCTCTATCGCCGTTCCCTGCCTCGGGAACAGCAGCTCCCCGGGGGCCCCGAGGACAGGCGCCGCGGGGCTCACGATGGGAAGCAGCCCCGGCGCCGTGCCGCTGGCCTCCTCGCTCACCCCTGCCTGTCTCTTCCTCGGAGAACACAAGGTACGACCAGATCCACCTGGTCCCGGCGGATCCGCCCGAAGCCTGTGGGGAGCTGAATAATGGGGTCTTCATCCAAGACCAGATCGCCTTGGTGGAGCGGGGGTAGGTCCGGCGCCGCGGGACCTCTTTGGGTGGGGGGCACCCAGGGCAGGAGGGGGCTGCCTGCGGCACGGAGGGTGACGGTGCCACGGTTGTGTTAGCAGCCACGTTTTACCGTCGCCTCCAGCTGCTTCCCCGGGTTGCAAAGCTGTCCCGACAGTCTTTTGGAAAAGAGCCTACGCCAAGCTGGAAAAAGCCTTATTTTGGGGGAGAAAGCAGCCCACCAGCACAGTTTGGGCAGTCCTGTTGCTAAAATCCGGTCTCAAGGATGAAAAGGGCTTGGGGGACGCACGGTGCCGGGGAGCCAGCCCGCGTCTTGGGCGTCTCCGGGCAAGCTCCGGCGCTTGCTGTCTGAGAGGTGCCCGGCTCCCACGTCCGTAGACAACGTTTGTGGCTCTGTGCCCCAGGGGCTGCTCGTTCCTGTCGAAGACGCGCGTGATCCAGGAGCACGGAGGACGGGCGGTGATTATCGCCGATAACGCCTACGATAACGACAGCTTCTATATCGAAATGATCCAGGACAGCACCAGGCGCACAGCGGACATCCCCGCGCTCTTCCTGCTGGGCAGGGACGGGTGGGTATCGTGGCCGAGGGACGTGTCTTCGGGCACGGCGCTGCGGAGGTAGGCGCACGTGGGTTCAGCGGGTTTTAGCCGGCCGGCCGCGAACCCGCTGCGGCGTCCAGGTAGCTGTGTTAGCTCCGTGCATGCCACAGCTCTCTTAGGAGGCTGGAGGCATCTGGGCTGGCATGAGGCTGGTTCTGAGAGCAGATCTGGTTTGGATGGCCTACCTGCGACCGGCAGGTCTCCGTGCCACCCCGGACGCTGTGCAGCGTTTTCCTGGTGTACATCAGCCTTTCCAAGAGACAGCCTTGCCTTTTGAGATCCAGTTCTGGTCACCCAATGCTCTGATCTTCCCAAGTGTAGAGCATCTCGTGGGAAGGGCCAAGTGACAGCCTTGTCCCCATGAACCAGAGGGGTCCCAGTGAGCCGCGTGTCCTGTCTGGGCTTTGTGAGCCAGATTTTCCATGGATTCAGTCATGCTTAATCCACGGAGTTTCTCCTCGAGTTTATTGGCAGCTTGCGTTAACCCATAACGTTCAGGCTCTGCTCTCCCAGCTCAGGGGCTCACATGCGCCTGTCACCTCTCTGTCCTTCCAGGTACATGATCCGGCGCTCCCTGGAACAGCATGGGCTCCCATGGGCTGTCATCTCCATCCCCGTCAACGTCACCAGCATCCCGACGTATGAAATGATGCAGCCCCCCTGGACCTTCTGGTAGCAGCGGGAGGCCACGGAGCATCGCGGACTTCTCGGTGGATCCCAGGAGCTCGCCCCAGGGACCGGTTTTGAGGAAAGAGCCCCATGCGCTCCCAAAAATCCTGCCGCCAGCCTCGCCGGATCCAGCAGCGGGCAGATCTTCACGCTGCCGCTGGTGTCTGGCCAAATGGCAAATGTCAGCGCCCGCAGCGGGACCTGGACGGTGGCATCGAACAACCTTTGTAGTGACTTTCTGGGAGGGAGGTGATGGCCCGGAGCAGAGAATCAGGCCAGCACTTCCCCGAGAAACATTTTTGTGATGCATACGATGCCAGCAGTAGTTTGTGCTGTCAATTTAGAGCGATGCAGTATTATGTGGACACAGTCTAACGGGGATGGGAGGGAGAGCTAGTTATGGGGTCAGTCTGTACTAGCAGGGCTTGCCCAGCGTCTGTATATTTTTGTCTGAGCTAACAAAGTCTAAAGAGGTTTTAGAGAAAAGGGAATTTCTCTTTCTTCAGTGGATGGGGAATGAAGGGACAAATCTCATCCCCTAACATCTTTCCCAGTAAACCTCATCCCTGAGCCCAGCCCTGCGGGGCTGGCCCCCGGATCACGGCCCCCCAGCTCTGCACTCGCCACCCTCCGGTTAAATAGTACGAACGACGCCGCCCCGCTTTTCACCAGTCTCAGTTTATTACGAACACTGAAGGGCGCAAGGCCCCAGGACGCCTCGGGGCTGGGGACAAGCAGCAGGGGTGCAGGGCTGGTGGGGACAATAGTGTCGGGGGTGCCCGTTTCTGCTTCCCTGCAGCATCCCCCTCGGTCCCGCGATCCAGCCGCCGCGGGTACGTTTCTGCCCGCGCCGAGGCCCAAACCCAAACCAAAGCAACTGCTCCCCTCCATGAGCAGCCCAGGAGGAGGTAAAACCCAAGTCTTAAGGCAAGACTGGGGCCGTGGGGAGGGGACCGAAAGCGCCAGCTGGGGGGAAGCACCGTCCAACCTCACGATGCAGAGACCCGGCCACCGCATCGTGCTAGCGCGAGAAGCGGGAAGTGAAACGACGGGGCCAAGCTTCGCCGCCCAGGTGAGCTTCCCAGGGTCCCAACAGCACGGGGTGGATGACAAGCCTCTGGGTCCGGTGACATCTCCACGCGGTGCCTGGAGTCAGCGCTAACTCCTGCCAGCATCCTGTATTGCGCCTGGAAACACGCAAGCGCCACGCTGCGGCCCCGGTACGATGGCTCCTGCTCGCACCCGTCCTCCTGATGCAGCCTGCGGCAGGACGCCCTGGAGGGTCGGCTCATGCCCCACAGCAGCCTGGCTCCAGGGGGTCCCTTTTGGCTTTTGGGAGATGACTTTGCTTATGCAATGCCATAGCCCATGTTAGCTCTGCGCTAGCAGCAGCCTGGCTGGACACCCCCCCCTCCCTGAACAGCCTAGCGATCGCTGCGCAGGGCTTTGCATCGTTCAAAGGAAATACTGTCCCTCGTATCCAGCAAGAATCAGTCAGAAACAACAGTTCATAGCAGACACGAGCCGGAAGAGGAAATAAAAGCAACCAGCCTCAGTGTTTTGTCCCGATGGCATCAACGTGCACTTGGCGGTACGTGGGTATCAGTGAGGCTGGGGCCAGCACAACCCAGCTGTAACAGCCCGGGGTCTGCAGGCACCAAGCGCCTAGCCCCATCTCCGGCACCCAACAAACAGTGGGATGTCTCAGAGCGGCTGCCAGGATCATGTTCAACACAAGAGCAAGAGCTGCCAGCCCTATCGAGCTCGCAGAGCCACAAAGGCTTGCCCACACTGCTGCCCGAGAGGCACCTGGCAAAGAAACACGGGTCTCCCCTGAAGGATGCAAAGCCAGGCTGGGCTTTGGCAAGGCAGGTCTCTTCCTCCTCAGCCCCATCCTGCAGCCCTACAAGAGGACAGATGCTCCTAGCAAGGTCTGATACCCCTCTGTGCCCTCTGCACGCCCTGTCTGCGGGACTGGAGCTCCCAAGGACACCAGGCAGGAGGGATGCCCGTGCCAGCCCCGGCCCCTCTCTCCTCGCTGGGCTCGCTGAGCCACCCCTAACCCATCCCTGTCCCACCTGCAGAATCACTTCACCCCTTGCTTGCTGCAAGCCAAGCCAAGGTGAAATGGAGTATATATAAGGACCCCAGCTCCTTAGTGTGTAGATAGTGCTAATATAGACATTAAATAGTAACCCTCGTGCACAAACACACGCACACATGCACATTCCCCTCATCCCTGCGGGGTAGGAAAGGGCACGCTCCTCCGCATCCGCGGCCGGCACAGACACGGCAGAGCAGCCTTGGAGGTGGCCACAACACAACCGCTGCTAGCCTGTGACGTCCCCTACCCTGGCCCAAGGGCTGGCCGGACCCCGCTTTCCTCTAGCATCTCCTGCAAGCAACGGCAGGCACCGCCAGGGACCAGGATGCACTGGAGGACCACTGGAAATGCAGCTCACGAGCTCTCCTCGCAGGGAGGATGGGGATAGCATCGCGCACACACACACACACACACACGCACGCACGCACACGCACGCACAGAGCGCACAACAAGGACAGCCAGGAGCAGGGCCTGCCTCCGGCTCCCTCGCTGCCCCACACCACCAGACCTTCGTGCCCACTGCCAGCACGTGGCCTCCCACCCCGACCCCACAACACAACCCTGTTTCTAGTATTAAAGCTGCTGCGTCTTGGAGGACCCCCTCTTCCCCGCCTTTCTCTTTCCTCCGGGGCCCAGGGTCAAACGTCGGTCATCTCATCCTCCAGCTCAGCATCATCCGTCTCCCCTTCGCCCTCCTCCTCGTCGTCCGACGTCACGTCGGCATCGTCGGCTTGCGCTAGGCACTTGGGACACGAACAGGTAAACAAGTAGTTCTCCCTGGAAGGGGGGACAGGAGAAGGAGAAAGAGCAATGGGGTTGAGAGAGGCACAACCCCGACACTGAGGCTGGGTGGGAGAATGGGGGAACAGGGATGGAGCAGCCACGAAGGAGCTAAACACGATGTCCACGGGTTTGCAAGCCCAGAGGGTTTGCAGTTTGATAAGCCTCACTTACAGACAAGTCCCCCAAGGTCTGACCGCAGTGTGGATGAAGCCCAAAAGCCCCGCACGCTGCGTGCGCACCCTGACATGTAAACACCCCTGCCACATGCAGACCATCTTGCACACCGGCACGTGCCCAACCACACACCAGGGCAGGCTGCGGGCCCCAAGGAGGGATGCAGCCCAGGCAGGGGTGCAAAGGAAAGCTCTGGTGCAACCCCAGGTGCCATGTCCCCCCTGGTCCCTCCGAGCAGCCCCCACCTGAGTATCTTGTGGCGGCTGTGTCTGCTCCGATCCCTCTGGCAGCAATCTAAATAACTGATGCAGATTTCCTGCCGGGCAAAGAGAAACAGGCCTGGCTGAGAGCCAGTTCCTACAAACCCAAAGCAGCAGAGTTTGTACCGGTCCCTTCAAGAGCCGGGTGGAAACATGAGCAGCCCCTGCATGGGACGAGCTGTGAATTCACCACGGCCAGGCAAACCCTCCTCTGCCAGGGCAACAGAAGAGGTGGGAGGTGCGGGGCTGTGGTCCGCAGGGGAGGTAGGGGACATGGTGACATAGTCTGCCCCCTGCCAGCAATGAGCCCCTCCACCAAGGTGCACCGTTGCCCTGGGCTTGGCTCGGCCCTGCTGGCTCACCTCTCCTGCCTCGATGTCCTCCAGGGCTGTCAGATGCAGGAGGAAGTTGTTGTCCGGGAAAGACGTCTCAGCATTGGGGATGCAACTGTGGTTACCTACGGGAAAGATGGGGCTCAGCTGTGAGGACATCTCCAGAAAAAGGGGAAGGCAGAGGCTGGAGCTCCCAGCACAGCTAGCAGGGCTTGACCTGGCATCCCTGATGGGCCATGCACCAGGCCAGCTTCATCTGCCGGCCCATGCTTTCCAGGCTAGCAGTGGCCAGGGACACGCCAGGAGCCGGTGCATCCGACAGAGGGACGTGGCCTGGCTAACGATACAGAAGCACTGTGCTGTGGCCACCTCGTCTGCCCTGGGGACACCAGCAAGACACTCTCTGCTCACACTGGGGACTAGGGGGTCCAGGGTCACCAGCAGAGCAGTTGCTCTGTTTAGTCTAAGGGAGAACCTTGGCTCAGCACCCAGCTCTGCTAGTCTTTTTGCTAACTGCACATGCAGCTCCCGGAGCCCACATCATGTCTGAGTCTGTTCAAGCCAGGACTGACCCCTTCATAGCTGGGAAAGATGCTAGGAGACCCTGAGAGAGCAACTAAGCCCCAGGGCAGCACCCATCCCATCCCATCCCATCCCACCCAGAGGCTTTTAGGAAAATGCAAAACGGTCTAGAACTGGATATCCTTATCCTCACTATTAGTTTTCCTCCAAGACTCCAAGACCTTGGTTTTACTTACAGCAGCTCTGGAGCACGTAGAGACCCGATCCCTCGCAGTTGAGGAACTCTCCTGACTCTGCAGCACAGAAAGGGGGGTTAAGGCTTTACATGAGCCATTCTGGCTCTTCCACACACTCAGCTTGGTGCATGCATGGGGGGATGTCTGTCAACACTGAACACACACATGCATCCAGCTAGTGCTTGCTTTAGGGTCTCCATGCTGGAGGGTGGTTTCCAAGCCGCTTTCCCTCACCTCCAAGAGGCATGGAGGACATGGAGATTTGCGCCCCCAGTTCAAGCAGATGCTCACTCCCCTGTCCCTCACACAGCTGCCTCAGCAGCTCCTCAAAGGGGCAAACCTAAGTCAGTCAAAAAAATGGTAAATAGGTCTTTCCATGTCGCTATAAGCTAGACTTTCTGCATGGGACCTCTCTAGATCTCCCTTCAGCCACCTCAGCCTGCCACAGTGCGCCTGGGCCATGCTGCTCACAAACTCGGACCTGCCCTGTCCAGGTAGCAATGGCATGAGGCATGGCTCACATGGACCGAGGCAAGTAGGATCTCCTGATCCCCAGTGGGAATCTCTGCTAGTCCCTGCATGAGGGGAGGAGTCCCTGGGAGCAGAAACCCCACTGAGACCTGCAAATGAGGCTTCCTGACACTGCCCGTGGCCACCCTGGAGCCTTACCCTTCTCGATATCCTTGTAGAGCTGGTCGATGAAGGCGTCCAGCTGCTCTCGCTGCGGCATGGGGAGATCCAGGGCATCGCAAGCATGTACCCACTGGCTCAGAGAGCTATCGGGGAAGCAGAGGGACACCATTATAGCCCAGGCTGAACCCAGCCATTACCCAGGGCATCATGGATGTACGGACTGTCCCTCCCCTCCATGCCACATCTCTGCCACCCTGCAAGAAGCGACTAGAAAGCCCCGTTACCTGGTTCCTATGCCTTGGCCGTTGGTCCCAACGAGGGCAAAGAGGGATTGAAAGCCTTCAGGAGTGAACCACTGCAGGAGGGAGATGAGAGAGTGGCTGAGCCCTGGCCAGCTCTCAGCAGCACCCCACTCCACACCCCACTGCTGGGGCCAGCACAGGTGGCCTGCTCACAAGTGCTCGGCCTCAGCAAAGCAACGGTCCCCTAGAGATGCCTAGGGAGTGAGACCCTGTGGGGGAAACTGAGGCACAGAACTCTGCAGCTCTGATTTTATGCTCTGTCATGATTTTCAGGGTGGAGATGCTCACACACACGTGAGGCCAGCCCAGATATTGTGACCAGTGGGTCTCCCTCAGAAAAGGGACCCCCACCTGCTGCCCACACTTTTGATCCATCAGCACGTGCCAAAGAAGACCCACTTGCTGACCCAGCTGCACACTGCCCTGCATGCACACACACACAAACACGTGCCTCCTATCCCACGGGGAGCTTTGGGGGAAGTGGACTCCCAGGGGAGTCTGGGGCAGATGTGACCCAGAGGGACTAGCGCAAAAAGGAAGGTGCCGCCACGCTCCTGGGCTAACTGGGAGGTCGCTCCACTCACCCTGCTGACGTGTTCATCGTAAAGAGCTTCCGTGAAGAGCAACCGCAGCAGTTCCAGCTGGCCCTGGCAGGAAATGGCAACATCATCAAGGTGGGAAGATGCCACTGGGCATCCCACCCGGGCCTACAGCTGAGCCCAGCACAAGCCACAAGGCTCAGGAGTCAGGCTTCTTGGCCTTCACTGCAAAGCTGGAGGCTGCTGCCCTCAGAGCAGCAAAAGCCACCCGTTCAGCAGCTAAATATCATCCTGTCCCATTGCCAAGTAGAAGCGTCTCTGTCACTGAAACTACCAGCTTGTTCTTCTGCAGTGCCCCAAAGCCTGCTAAGTGACCCGTTCCCTCTCTGTCAGCTCAGCCAGGAGCCCTGATGGGGCTGGGCACCCCACTTTGGCATCTCCAGCACCTCCCATCCCAGTGCCAGCCCAGCACATACTTAGCTTCCCAGCCCGGGCAGTGCGCCCAAGCCAGCCTGCTCACTGCTGCACCCCTAGCTGCTGGGACCCGCCGTGCACAGGACCACAAACCCCTGCACTGAGAGCCTGCTCCCATCCCAGCAGTAATGGGGCTTCCACATCCGTGGATTTGCACATGCGAGCTGGGAGACAGCAGGCTCAGGGGTTCCCAGCACTCAACCCGTTCGGCTGCCAGGCTCTTACCTTAAATTTGTCCCCCAGCAGCTTATGCACAATCTCCTCCTCTTCGTTTGCTGTCTTACTGCAGAACTGGGAGAAGACCTTGATCCACCAGTCCTTGTCCTTAGCCTAAAAAAGAAATCAAGCAAATACACTGCACTAACACCGCTTTCCTCACCAGCCAGGAGGAAGGCTGGAGGAGGCAAGCCCCACTGAGCTCAGAGCTATCCAGCCTGCTATCAAGAGGCAGCAGAAGCATTCACACAGCAGTAGTTTACTGTCAGAGTAAAGCTGGGCAAAAGAAACAGAGCCAGAGGAAAGGTTCACTTCTAAAAAACGTGTGTTAATTCAGTAAGGAAAAAAAGTCCTGCTTGGCTCAGGACACAGGAGTCTTCTCTGCTGCCTGTCATCCCCGTGACCAAGGATCACTCGATGTCGCAACCTCTTCAAGCAGGACCCTGCTTTTCTGACCACTGGAGAAGAGATCAGTCCTTGGGAACAACAGCAACAACAGGAAGAAAAAAACAAGAATTGGTAGTTGTGGCCCCAAATCACAGACGTACCTGTTTGACGGTGGCAACCATCCTGGCCATCAGCATAATGCTGGAAGTCTCCGGTGGGTAATGCATGTTTCTGCAGGGATAAAAGGGAAGAAGAGAGATGAGCAGATTAGTGCTGATATGGAAGGAAAAAGCTGGAGGGAGGCAGAAGCAGCCTCGTGCACGCAGTCAGGCCTGCGCTCACCCGTCACACCAAAGCAGCTAGCCCAGCATGACCGCGTGGGGACCCAGCGCTGCGAAGGGCAAGGAGGAGAAGCCTGTGCCTGCCTGTCTGCACCAAGCATACAAATAATCCCCAACCATCCTGCTCAAATACCGCCTGGGGAATAGATCCCGGTCCCATACAAAGCGCAGGACTGCAACAAGAGCTGGAATTTGTGACATCTTTGGGTCAGCGACATCACTTCTCCTCTCTGTGCCCGTTTTGTCACCTGCAAGCAGGGATAGCTACTTATATACCCGCAGGAGTGCTGCGAGGCAGATGTCCAGGAGGCTGGAGATGTGCAGATGCACTGTTAAATTGCAGGAGTGAGGGATGCGCTGCTCAGTGCTTCGTAGCCCTTCACTGGGAGAAAAACCAAGAACTGCTCAGCCCCGTGTCCCAACTCCTGTGCTGCCGAGCGGCACACAGCCCTGGGTTTTGGAGGGGAGCAGTGTCTCACAGCCACCAGGTCCCACCAGCCACTTTGTGCAGGGATAGAAAGCCAGGACTGTCTCCAACAAGTGTCACCCAGCCTGGGAGAGCCACCCCCTTTGCCCCTGCAGCGACAGGTGGGTTGGTCCCCTACCTCCATGCCTCCTGCAGCTTGTTGAGGGGGTGCGTGGGGTCCTCGCGGGACGGGCCGAGGCAGAGGACCTGGTGATACTGCTCCAAAGCGGACTGCCTGCATTCAGCACTGCAGTACGTCACCTAGAGCAAGGGGCACAGCGCCCGGCGTTAGCTGCAGCAGCAGGCAAAGCAAGTGCTGGGCCCTGGCCATGCCCCATCTGCCTGCTAGAGCAGAGCCCCGGCTCTTTGGCAGTCGCAAGAGGGAGAAGGGAAGAGCAGACACCAATTTTACAGCACGGTAAATCCCTCCCTGGGCCCTAGGAGATGAAAATTCCCCCGAGGAGTTGAGTGAAGCCTACAGGGATGAACTCATGCAGCATTTGGGGCAGAAAGCCAGACTAAGTGTTTGGCTAGATGCTCTAAAGGAGTCAGCAGCCCCAAGAAGATCATGCTCCTTCCCGGTGGCCTCGTACCTGGCACTGGGGACACTGGTGGTGCAGGTCTTTCCGGATGCTGCACTGCTCTGGGTGAGGCAGCACCTGGGAGCTTCTCCCCAGCAGCCGCTGGGCGTTTTCCTCCGCCGTCTCCAAAGCCCGCAGGCAGTGATCGCAGGCTGCGGGGAGAAAACACAACCCGACGGCACA